CTGCTTGGATCTGCACGCATATTACGAAAATATGTTACGCCGTCCTAGGCCCCTGGGTGGGGCCCGACTAGTAACCAATGCCAAATCCGGCGAAAAAACTGGCCGCTGTGATACAATTGTATAATAATAATAAACAGTTTGAAGTTCAAGATCACAAAATAAGATGTTTTAACAAAATGACCACAATGGCGTACTTGCTTTCCATTTGATTTGTGGAAGTACTGACAGCATCTCTCAAAATACCATTCTCCTGCTTCAGACGACTGATTTCTGCTTCCATCTGTTCACGAATCTGTTGAAACTGTGACCAGGAAAACATTATTGTATTCATTTAAGATAACCACTTTATAATTTATGTAGCTTCATATAAAACACAGGGTCTTATTGTTTACAAATCCAAACTGTGATCTACTTTCGGCTTTATTTCTTCAAGAAATGAAGAAAAAGCTATCACCAGATTGGATCCCCAAGATTATTTCTCAATAACAAATCTAGGAACTTTGAACCTAATAATTGTTGCGTCACACTGACACTTCCCCAATTTTAGCTCCTGCAATGTAATTAAACACTAAAGTTTGCCTAGGTTTTAATGCACTTCCTTTATTTTTTTTGTGCATTGTAATTTAATTAGTGTTTCCTTATTATGTTCCATTGATTGTTTTTAACTGTATTTTAAATTAATATTCTGGTTTTGGTATTGTTACTATAAAGGAAGGGAAACTTTAGGAAACATTCTATTTTAAGTCTTCAAACTCTTCAATGAAACTATAACTGAAATATTAGTATAAACTGAAAAAGGTGCGTAATCTAAATCTTGTCAAACTTGAAATTGTATGGGCAGTTTTCCAAACATGAGCACTATCTTGCTTTTCCATGTCCTTACAGTAGTCCTATCAATGCTTCAGGAACAAAGCTGATATTCAAACATGCAGTGACTGCTAATCTTTTAGCCTTAGGCAGTGATGGCTAACCTTTTTCCTAATGTGTGCCAAAAGCGGGGAGGTCCTGTGCGCATGTGCCCATACCCATAATTCTATGCACGTGACCTGCTCCCAGGCCTCCTGAAGCCTCCAGAGCGCGAAAAATGGCCCTACAGGCAACCTGGAAGTTTGGAAATGGACTTCCAGGTTGCCTGTAGGGCCATTTTTTGCCCTCCGGAGGCTTCAGGGAAGCCTCCTGAAGCCTCCGGAGGGAGAAAAACGGCCCAATGCGCAAACCGGAAGTTTGTTCCGTAAATTCTGGTTTGTGTGTTGGGTTGTTTTTCACCCTCCAGAGACTTCAGGGAAGCTTCCGGAGGGGGAAAAATGGCTGAAAATGAAGGCCGAAATCAGCTGGACAGCACGCGCATGCACACTGGAGCTGACAGGGCAATGCCTTGCGTACCCTAAGAAATGGCTCTGCGTGCACCCTGTGGCATGCATGCCATAGGTTCTCCATCACAGCCTTAGGGTCTCCATGTAAAACTCATTCTGATAATTAGGAGGTATATACATTTAACAATCATGACTAATGAAATCAAGACATGGGAAAGAAATTGATGCGAGACTCAGTGCCCTTTACAGTTCATTTTCTCTGTTCAACACTGTACAGAAGAACAATTACACAATAATTCCAGTTTTCTTAAAATGTTTATTTAGCCACAGGACTGCAATATCTTGGAATGGAAGAAGGAAAGTCTGCTTGCGTAGAGACTGAGCAGATGGTTTAGAGAAAACATCTAGCTAGGGGATGTTAAAGGATTTAGCATCAGTCTACATTTTTAAAAGAACAAATCTGATTCATTCCTACTAGAGGAATAAAGAACCTACGATTACTTATAATTTGGTATAGGTGCTGACTATTTTTTTTTTTTTAAAAAGATCTATTTCTTAGCCACCCAAAGAAAACACAATACAAATATACCAAAGAAATTAGTATCCTATGGGACAAAAGCAATTTAAAATTATATGAAGGTGAATTATTTTTTTTAAAAAAACCTAGCTTATTCACATTACATGGGACAGAAAAGAAGTTATCAATAAATACAGAGAAATGTAATATGCACCCAAGAAATATAATGCATGTTTCCACCCTAAGGATCTAGATACTCAAGTCAAAATGAACTTTTTTCATTTTCATTAGAGATGTTGACTTTACCTTCATTTTCATCTGCTGGCTTTCTTGGTAGCTCCCGTGGATTTTGTTTTGGAAAACCCCATGCTCTTTTTCCAAAGTGTTAACTCGCTCTCTCATTTTTGCCATAACCAAATTGCTTCTTTCTTTCTCTGTCATCAGTTCCTAGGACCAAATCAGAGAGTATCTCTTTTCAATAGTCCACCTCATTCTGAGGCCCATGGCCAGTTTACACAAAGCATAGAATTGCAGTTCCCTAAGAGTTTTCTAGGTATGTCTCAGAGCATCTGTGAGGCTCAGAAAGCATTCCTGGAAACAAAGAATATACTTAAGGGTTACATTTTGCTCTACACCATTCAAGCATCTCTTTTATTTCCTTTTAATTAAAAGAATCTTAAAAAATAAAATCAATAGAACATAGGAACTGAGAGATAGACACAATGCTGCCATTAGATGCTTTAGTACACGGGTGTGAAATTCACCACATCACGTTGCCATCAAGTGACGTATCACGACGTTTTTCCCCTTTGCGGAGCTGGGGTTGGCATGGCCTGTGCATGACGCATCCGCCCCCAGTTTGATACCCCTGCTTTAGTAGATTCCCAGATTTTAAAGACATGAGACTTGGAGACAGCTCACAATAGGAAAACAGAAACAGTTTAAAAGTTGAAAAGATAGCTGAGCAGAGTGTAGGGAGGGGGCACCGAATTGTGTATAAAAGTAACAAGAAGTTGCTGGAAAAAGTAGGGAGAACTGTTATGTATGCTTCCCCCAAAGAATTTTCCCCTTCTTGTCTTCACACCTGAAGTGTTTCCTACTGAAAAGATTCTTTTAAAAGCCTAATATCAAATCTCCCAGCATAACTGTTTTTATCAGTAGTATAAATGACACACTGAGCTGTGCTTTCCATGAATGATGATTCCTCCCTTTACATCTGACTATACTAGTAATGACACATTTACTTATTCTGGGATTCACTGTACCTGGGAAAGCTGTTTGCATTGTTCCTTTGCAACAGCACCTTCTTCTTTTGCTGCCATAAGCAATTTATCTTTTTCTTGCAGCTGATGGAGCACTGCAGCTGGATCTCCTTTACTTGCCTGCACGAAGAACACAAAATGAACTTAAGAAGGAACTAAGTCCAGATCACATGTCACAATAAATCAGTTTAACTCAATTGGAAGCCGCGGCAAATCAGAATCATTTTCCTGCCACCCATTTTCCTCCTCTGGCTTATTTCCTGACATACAGTAAGTCGCTGTTATACTTAAGTCCTCAATTCTTTCATATTAATGATTATATACAGCAGCAGTTTCAGAACCCTTGATCTAAGATAATCAATAACCCACCAGCTTGGATAGCCAAAGAAGTTCTGAACCAGTCAAAAAATTATTGCCAGGCACGTGGTAAATACTATTAAATTCACTAGTATGCATGTGAAATATTTTAGGGTTGCAATAAATAACGAGCAGAACAATGCATTTATGGCATATGTTTCTGCTCAAGAACAGAATCTCTAACAACTAGCAACCAGGAAATGTATCTATCATATGTGGTACAGGAACAAAATAGTGACATTATTTGTATTTAGAGGATTTTAAAGGTTTCCTCAAAAAATGTTCTGGTCTGTTGTCCAAAGAAAGAAAATCCAGATTTATTTGTTTGTTTGTTTGTTTTCCAAAAAAAAATGCAAGTATTTATCTGGATGGTAAGCAAATGCTAGCTAGCCTCAAAGCACCAGTTACCTTCTGCAGAATCTCCTGCATGGCATTAGATTTCTCCTTCAATAACTCCACCACATTCATGGCCTCCTCTTCTGTGAATATCATGTTCTTCATAACCAAGATAAAATCCTTAAATTTCACATCTGCATTTTCTATAATGAAATCAACAGGACAGTTATAAGAAGAATGCAGCATATTTTTACAGTAAGAGTAGAAGGAAAACTATTATTCTGTAATACATGAAAGACAACTTTTCAGCAGGCTTTTTTATAGGAACCAGCAAGCTATAAATATAACAAATACCAGTTGTCTTTGCTTACCAACTGCTTATTCAGTGACACTAGAGATTATGACAGGGCTGAAAAGGGAGACTGACAATTGGTCCTCAAAGTTGTGGCCCTCATAGCATCCCCCTGATCAGGTGAATGTGATTCAGGTGCTTCACAACTGGCATTGCATTTACAAGAGTTGAAGCTTCCTATGGTCATGTGATCGCCATTTGTGACCTTCACAGCTAGCTTCTGACAAACAAAATCAATGGGGAAACTGGTGGTCACATGACATTGCGCTTAATGACCATGGGTGATTTGCTTTACAATCACAACCGGAAGTGACATTGTAAGATCGGCACTGTCATATGATGTTTCACTTAACAACTATATCACTTAGCATCAGAATTGCTGATCCCAAATGCAGTCAGTAAGAGAGGACTATTTGTATTGGCAAATAATTTTTTTGCCCATTCCTAGGAAATGTTTGCAAGACAAAACTCCAAATTATAGTTGTACGATCTCTAGTATATTTGGAGTTTAAGGCACAATTAAAAAGAATGAATGAATAAGTGGCAATCTAGAGTCAGATTCTCCCTAAGCACAGAAACTCTATTGGAAAGTGTACTGGAGTCATTTTGGTTCCATCTAAGGCTTATCTTATCATAAATAATAATTTTAGATTTTTCGCTTAAAGATAAACAGAAACAAGAGCATTATTTCCCACCCAAAATAAAAAATGGATTTCCCACCAAAAGACAGATTTTTTCATATGTCAACTTCAAAAGAAAAATAAAGGCTGGTTATTAGCAGGTTACTTCAAGGCTCCTTATCTTTCTTTTATGAAACTTAAAATAAATGATACTGTTTTGATTACTCTTCAAACACCATAGGCATCGGAGATGCAGTAGAGTCATTCATGTTTGTGCTCATCTCAGAACTCTGCTATCATCCTTTGAAAAACATATTTCAGGAACTTAGTGTATTCTTCTACTTGAAAATTAACATCAGAGTTCAGGCATTTTAGTTTCGTGAGGCCATCAGCAAGTTCTCTGGTCATTGTCTCAGAAATATACAGTACCACCTTATTTAAAATACTGAAGTTAGTCATTTCTGGAATAGGCAAACCAGCCACAAGCGCCAATATCAAGTGTTTATCAGAAGGCCAAGCCAACACAACTCTCAAAATGCAGTACAGAAAGAATTTTAAATCTTTTTGTATCACCTGAACAGGACCTCTTCCCCCTTGTCTTTCCTATTGCCTCTTCTTGCCTTATCTCCTCCCAATTTTCTTCCTTCCTTTCCATTCCATTCCCTTTGATTTCTGATGCAACTTGTCCAGACTTTCCCTTCCATTTACCATTTGATTTCAATTCATTTATCATACATTCTGCATCTGCCCACAGTCTAAACTTTTTCTCAACTAAAAAACCAAAACCCTCAAATTCTTAAGAATATTCTGGCAATGACTATGTATCCATGCATCATGCGACCAATTAGATCGCATAGATTAGGCCTCCTCCGAGTACCATCTGCCAGTCAGTGTCGACTGGCAACCACACGGAGGAGAGCCTTTTCAGTAGT